ACACTCTTTTAATGCAAAACCGCTCTGTCTCTTCTACTGCTACTCTTTTAAGTTGACCACAAAACCTTTTGTATGCAAAGAAAGATCATCACAAAACCTCTGTCTAATTCTAAAACTAGTGGGGGTTCATTAATTGAGGTATACCTCGGGGGTTGACTGATATTCCCTCAGCAATTTTCTTCACTTGTTTTAGTAATAGTAAGTAGTTGGATGTCTAATTCTTAAGAATAAAAACGGAAAGTATACAAGAGCATGGCACGCCCGTGAAGAGTGTTCTTTGTATAGAAAAGACTCACCTCACTTCACTCCATCTTCATCTTCTCTTTCTTCTCTTCTCATTAAAAAAATTAAACAACAACAATACTCATCTCTTCCTCCTCTACATCTTCCCTTCTCTCTTCTAACAAATACCAACAAACAGAAGTATTTGTATTTTATTATATATACATCGTTTTAATTAGTTTTGTAATACAGTGCTTGAGAAGAGAGGGATATAGACGAGGTGGCATCCAGAACTTCATTTATTTTTTATTTTTTTGGGTATTCCATGGGTTTATGTTTAGAAGTTATCTGATTTAGTTGATACGGGAATTAGAAAGGGAATTTGACTTGGTTTTAACTTGATCTATGAATTATTTGATGCTTTACTTATTTTAACTTGATCTATGAATTATTTGATGCTTTACTTATTTTAACTTGATCTATGAATTAGCTGTTTTGTCTAAGAAGATGGTGAGGTTGTTTTTTGCATTCCTTTTCATGTTAAGTGAACAAAATGTAACCTTTACCATTCATGGTTTGTTAGGTATGGGTCCCAACAAGGTGTACTGCGCTGTTATTTTGTTGTTTTTCTTCTGGGGAATTTTGTTCTTTTTCTTCTATGAAGCTTCGGTCTCCAACAGAAATCAGAAAGCAGAATTGGTTGTTAATGCTTCTGGAGGCAGACAGATTCCTGAAACATTCTTTGGAATATTCTTTGAGGTAGTTTATTGTTAGCTTGCACTTGGAGTAATGTTGTTTTAATGTTAACCTTATTTATATTTTTTTTATCCCATTCATGTTGGTAGACTTGCACATAAACTTACACGCTGCTACTAATTAATTTATTAAATACATAAGGGAGAAAAAAGTAAGGCAAGGTGCTTAAAGAAACTAACTATCCATATTACTGTGTTTTTCTCCAGGAGATCAATCATGCCGGTGCTGGTGGATTGTGGTCAGAGCTTGTGAGCAACAGAGGTCATTCTTTATTCTTCTATCTATATATTTGATGTTTGGTAGCTAAGTTATATGCTGGATTGTCAGCGTGTACTTGTAATAGTGTATATAAACATCAGGGGCTGTTATTTGCTTTCTCTCTTTCGATTTGTTAATTCTCTGCTTTCTCTCTTTCAATTTCTTAGGTTTCTCTAAATTTCTCAGACATGTTGCATGAAATGTTTTTAACAAGCCCATAATGTATTAAAGCATATGCTACACAATATTTTTTAGGGGTTTATATTTTACAATTGGTTTTTAATGAGATGTTTATTTAAGGTTTTGAAGCTGTAAGACAAAACAAATCCTTGAATATTCACCCTTGGTCTCTTATCGGGGATGAATCATCCATAATTCTTTCAACTGACTGATCATCATGCTTCAAGCCGAATAAGATTGCACTTCGAATGGAGGTGCTTTGTGATGGTGGTACGTGTCCTGTTGGAGGAGTTGGTGTCTATAAACCAGGATTCTGGGGAATGGTAAGAAATAGTTTATCTTTATTACACAAAAAAGTAAATGAATTTGAATATGTTGTTTTAAGTATGAATTATTAATTATTTTATTCTCTTTCTTGTAGGACATCAGACAACGCAAGATTTACAAAATTGTCTTTTACCTCCGTTCATTGAGCTCAGTTAATATATCAGTATCTTTAACGAGCTCGGATGGATTGTGGAAGCTGGCCATTACCAATCTCATGTGAGCATTATAATTAATTTGCTTAATCTTCTTCTGCAAAGATTTTTGTTTATTTATAATTTAGAGTTTAATTTGATTTCATTGCAGTGCTTCCGCTCGTGATGTCTCAAATTGGACAAAAATGGAAACTTTGCTGGAAGCTGAAGAAACAAATCCAAATGCAAGACTTCAACTGAAGACTTCAAAGAAGGGGGTAATGTGGATTGATCAGGTCTCTGCCATCCCCTTGGACACACACAAGGTAATTACAAAAGAAATTCAACATGCAATCTTCCTTAAAATTTAAGTCCTCCTAGGGTTTTTTTTTTTTTTAATTGCTTTGATTGGGTTAGGATGGAGTTAACTATTGTTTCAAAATGAGCTTCTAGTTTGTCTTTTGAAGCTGAATGATAAATGTAAACTTTGCATGTAGGGGTTTTGCTTTTGTTTGAACATAATTTTTTCAATGCATTTCTTCTTATTACTTATAACTAGTAATTACCCTCCACATGTATCTAAGACTTTCTGTATCCTGTCGCAGGGGCATGGCTTTAGAAATGATCTTTATGAAATGATTGCAAATATCAAACCTCGATTCCTGAGATTTCCAGGTATATAAAGATTTATTGGTGTAGACGCTTCTTTGCGCAAGTGAAGTTGTTTCATGTTAAATTATCACATTAGAAAACCTTGTATTTCATTTTGACGTTCGACGTTTGTGATTGATATTGTTTTTCTTATATTAATATTTGGAGTTGCCATAAAAATGTATTTTAATTCAACTTGTTTTCTATTGATGCCTTTACGCTATCTATTTTATAGTAAGTTGTTATCTATTAATGCCTTTATTTAAGCAAATATATAGTTTATTTACTCATTTGTATTTGTGTGGGTTCATAACCTTTTTTCAAATGATTTTCTTAAACCAAAGTTTTAGAGGTTCTTGTAATGGATAAAAGGTTGGATATCATTGTTCAATTTGTAAGAGTTCCTTGTAAATATAAATTGTTTGCATTACACTTTATTCATTTCGTTACACTTAATGCTTTACATACATGTGTTATATAAAATTGATCTTTAATTTGGTAAGATATACAATTTTAATTTTATAATTTGTCATTTAATAAAACAAATGGTGATAACTTGAAACAAACGTAAACGAATGTGAAGGAGTACTATTCTTGTAGTTAGATTTATTCTTTTCTAGTTTCTCTTGTGTGAAAAAGGCAAAGGTTGGCTGGGTTGTTACGTGAAATAGAATTTCAACTCTGGAGACAAATTTACTCCTTTAATAATTTTAATGGATTGGACATGTTTAACGTTCTGATCTGATTCTATGCCTTGAGGATATAAATTGTTTCAAGAGTTTGTAATATGATGTTTCATTTATATACTAAATTAGCTTTGGCTTGAATCTTGTCCAAGTAAGCAAATATAAAAATTTCTCGAGTTCACTGCATATTTCCTTTGATTGGCTTTATCGAATCCCTGCTCCTTACCTATCTTAATCTCTTTATTTGTGTTCAGTAACTGTAGTTATATTCATTGCTCAGAAATTCAAATATGAATAATGCCTTAATTTTCTTATTATGTTACATCAGTTGGCAATTTTGTTGGAGGAGATCTTTTAAGAAATGCCTTTCGTTGGAAAGACACCGTTGGACCTTGGGAGGAGAGACCTTGAAAACAAACAAAAATAATAAATCTATACTTTTGAATGAAGAAAATTGATCTTTTCTAAACATTACTCACCCTTTCCAGCATACGCATCATGTACTAGATCTCATTCTTCTTCGCTGTTGACAGATCACATGTAACATCCATAATATTTGTCCTGCATGTCAGTCAGGACACTTGAAATAATAAAGTCCATTGCAACATATAGAATGAACTGCATATCGATCAAGTAGTAATCCAAGGGCCATTGAAACCAGTTTGTTATAACGCACACACCAGATCAACCAAATCACACAGCAAACACGCACGACACAGATCTAGCAAATACACACACACACACAACACTAAGATTTACCGTGGTTCACTTGCTCAGTTTGAGCAAGCTACGTCCACGTTGAGCTCGGAAAACCAGCGAGCTCGCTGCATTATATTAATCAAGATTCCAGTACAAACCTCTACCCTCGATTAAACCCCTTCACAATCTTCTCCTAAATCCTTAACACCCTAGAAACACAGATCTAGTATCCCAAATACCCTGTGAACCCTAGTACCCTCAAATGGCTTGAAAACCAGCCACTCAACTTACAGTTACAAGATTCAAGACCACAAATAAACCCAAACCCTAACAGATACAGATTTGTTCGACAGAGAAGAAAGAGATACAAAAATGGTTAATCATCATCGATTTAGACTGTTTGCCTGCTTATATACCGTTGACCTTCAGACTTCTTTTCCACTATTGGATCTTCAGCTAGCCAACGATCAGGATTAATCTTTCACTTGGCTCAAAACGACGTCGCTCCATTTAATGATGAAACGTCACCATATAAAGCCATCACACCAACACAGTTCCAGCACGAAACAAATATAGTTGGATAGTCCTTTAATTTTTTGTTACAAAGTCACGATAGTGACTGCATCAGAGTTATGGATGATGATGAGAGTATAGAAACATACACTGTCAGCATTTCTCCATCAGTGGTTATTTGTTTTTAGTTCATACATAATATTCCTTAATACCATTCAATAGTAGGTCTACACTGTCAGAAAAGATTGCAACCGTGTTCTTCTTTGTTTTATTCTCTGTTTCGTTCTTGATAAAGGAAGATAAAATCTTAAAATTAATCACACGTAGGAGATTAAAGTGAAAAGTTGATCCTGGAAAAATGGTTACAAGCATCAAACCATAATGTCTACTGGGATCTGACCACCAATGTATGTGCCTCTGTTTGCTACTAATGGCATTCTTCAAGTTAAGTTGGCCATTACGTGTCTAATATATGTATAGCGAAGTGAACTTAGAAAAAGGCCTTGCAGAATGTATCATGTTCATAGCAGAAAACTTTTTCCTAATTTAGAGGCAGGAGTAGCCAAATGTAGAGCTAAATCAGAATGTGAACATAAAATCTAGAGCTGTTAAGTACATGAAGTACTCTGCTCTGACCATGTCCAGGGAAATGGCTGTACAGCTTCAAGTATCCGCAGGGTCCTCTCACTAAACAACATAAACATTCTAAACGTTAAAAGTAACATGAAACATTGAATTCTATAATACTGCTAATTATCCACCAAGTGAAGAATCAATGCATAGCGAAAAAACCAAACAAATACTGTTTAGAAGCCAACCTGCACACTACCCTTTTCAAATAATACGATAAGACCAGAGCTCTAATACAGAAGACATCATGAGTAAAATCATTTCACGCATTCTTGTTAATGTACTGTGTATGGATACAAGTGCAATAGTTTTCCAAATGACCATATAAAATCAGACAGTATTGGTTTGAGCAGCTTGAAATATGTAGCTCAAGCATACAATGATGTGACGAAAACATCTATTACAAATAGTGAATATTGCAATAAAACTTTATCAATTCAACAAGTATTTACATGTCATCAAGGGATTAGATAGACCTACTTATCTGAAGACAATGGATCCAGGCCTTGTTCTTCCACAAGTTGCTCCACAGTATCAAGAGTGTTTCCCGCCTTCAAAATCATATTTAATTCAACATTAGAATGCCCAACCAATTAAATTCATAAAATCAAAAGGAATGAATTTAATTAGTAATTCAATTGACCACATCTAGCCGCGGACCAAAGTAATGAATTGAAATATACCTGAGTTTCAAGGCATAAAGACTGAAACTCATCCTGTAATATGCAAAAGTGGCAACGTTTGAAATTAACAATCATAGCCTGGTAACAACGTATTTAAATCCTTTAAAAAGCATAAGGAAAAATCATACCTCAATGTTTTCATGCAAAGAAGTAATCACCTGAAACTGTACACCCATTAGTTCAAATTTCAAACATTAACCAAAACAAAATTTAAAAGAATTAAAAACAGCTCTGAGTAGATGTTTAGAGAGGGGACCTGGATGAATAGGCGGTGGAGGGAGTCTCAGAAGCAGTAAAGTTATTGAATGCTTTGCTGAATTCCTTTTTCATTTCAAAAAAAGAAAAAAAATAGTGGTAAATAAGAGAATTGATAGTTAAAGTAGATGAAAAGAACGTAGAAAATTAAGCAGTGAAGAAAGTTACTTGTTTTAAGCAAGTAGTGAGAAGAGAACGAATTGCGAACTTGAAAGACTTGTTAAGATCCGATTGTCTTGACCCGACAAGATCACCCATTTTCTCCATTTCTCACAAACTTACAGCTTACAGGTCACAGCCGCGAAGTGGAAGAGAGTATAGGAGCTGCGAGGGGGAGCAGGGGATATGGAAATGGGCCGAATTGAAATGGGCCTGTTTCAGCAAACAAAACATCCTCAAGGCCCAAATTTGAATATTTATATGTTTAAATATGCGATGATGTCTTGTTTACAATTAAGTCATATAAACACATAAAAATTATACAAAATTTATGTAAAATGATTACTTTATCCTTCTTTTTTTGTCTGTTTGTATGACTCAGTTGTATATATAATATTACTCATAGATATATCATATATTTCCAGTGATGTAAAAATATATCATATTTTACTTTCAAGAATTCAAAGGAACCATTTAGAAGTGTAAACAATAAAAATGAGATTTTATATATCCTACAAACATTTTTATCTATCAAAACAGAGAACAAACAAAGCAAAACATAGCTCTTCTATTTCCATTCCCCTGCTTTCTGTCAAACTTTGATTAAACAAACAATAATAGTTTCAACATGCGTAATAATGATCTATCTAGGTTGTATAGACAGTTTTATATATATTAGTAAACAATTTGCTATTTATCACCTCACTCATTAAGACTTTGGCATTATGTTATCACCTAAATTATACATGCTTACATGTACTTCATTTTGAACGTAGATCAAAATATTAAACATGCTTGTATTATAATTTCATGAGTAAATGACCTATTCCCACATAAGGTTTGGCAAAATTCTAAGTTAGTATCTCTGATTACATTTATTCCAATTCTCACCCTTAAAGTAACACCGTTAGCAATTTTTAGGTTACAAATGGTGCAATTATCATAATGCCCTTAATAAATAAATTAATACAATTATAAATTTACCATTGTATTTTTAAATTACTTCAATAACACCTTCGGCGACTGTGCACCCTCTCGATTTTTGCTTGATTTGGGCTATTTCCGATGGTGTTGACCCCCCTGGTCACCTTCCACATATTCCGTCGTCTAAACCCCTTTGGTTCTCAACTCATTAGCACCTCTGATTGCCGGTGTAGTTTGGTTTACGGTTTCCCTGTCTTTTGCTGGATTCCGATGGTAAAAATCCAATTAAACACCACCACTTCAACCAGTGTCTCCAATTCTATAAAACCCCTATGTCCCCACCAACTATTTAGTCGCCATTTGCCAGCCAAGAGGTTCATGTTCATCACTTTTTGGTGAAGTGGTGGATGGCAAATTGTGAGTTGTCGTGGTCGGGAAGGCTAGGGATTTTCTAGGGGGGATGCGAGGAGTCAAACGGTTGTGGTGGTTGGGGTTGTAGCCGCTCAAAATGGTCGAAAATCGGCAAAAAATAGTCGCATGTCACGGTAGCCGTGGTCGACAATCGACGAGTGATAAGGGGTTGTGAAGGGAAAGGTTTTGTAAAGGGAGGATGACAGTTCAAATGGTGGTGACAAGGGTGATTTTGGGTGAAAGAATCACCGGAAAAGGGCAAAAAAAGTCAAGGGCGACGTCTATTAACGTGCGCTGCCTCCTACAAAATGACCAATTTACCCTTCACCGTTAAATCAAACACTTTTCTGTCACTTTAAGGGTGTGAATCTGGAATAAATGCAACTATAGGTATCAACTTAGGATTTTGCCAAATCTCGAGTGGAAATATGTCATTTACTCTATATAATATATATAGCCAACGTACTGTACAATGTACATAAATAAGTTATGTAAGTTATAAATGTGTAGTACTTAATTTTCAACTTTATAAGCTGTAATACCATGGAAATGAAATGAATAAATTGAGTAGCAATATTTGGTTTTCATTTGTGGTTAGTTTTTTTCAGTGAATTCCTGGGAAAATTGTGGTCTTAGAAAATCATATATCATCTGTTGTGAAAGCTAAAGAGAAAGCAAACATGCATATTCGGATCGGAAACTCAAAGGAATAATTAAAAGGAGAAAAGCTATAAGAATCTTTTGATATTGATTAAGCAGAGATATCATATAACAAGTACAATATTATTATCCACATTCCCTTATATAATTGGACCACCATCCTCGTGTTTTATTATATTATATGAAGATTTTGATGCCATAAAAGGTAATGCCAAATGAGTAATGCTACAGTCACCGAAGTAGTGCACCGAATTTATACACCGAATGACGTGATAAAATCCTTACCGTTAATTAATATTAAGTTAAAATTAATCAACCGTCAGGATTTTGTCATGTCATTCGGTGCATAAATTCGGTGCACTACCGTCGGTGGATGTATTTTTTTTCAATTCCAAATATATGGCAAAAATATATCTTAGTATAAACATCAAATAGGAAATAAATTATTATCTTGGGAAGGAGGATATTGATAATCAAATAAAACAAGTCATGCAAAAATAGACAAAAAATATTCACTTTCCCAAATAACATTTCAATATCGCAAAGCTATAATTATTTCAAGCCAAATTTCCTTTGGGAAACTTATAAGGAATGTAATTAATTAAGAAAGTTGTCAATATCTTATGATATTTTAATTAATTATTTATATGTTTTTTTTTTTTTTTTGCTACATACAAATCAAATATTAAAATGTTTAACCACCAACTTGTGGCCGGATGGATAGAGGGGCATATGGTTGAAACTTGAAAGTACCCCCACCCCAGTTTTTAGTTCAAGTTGTACTAAGAGGTGGCCAATTACCTTACCTTCAAATAAAAAAAATATTAAGATGTTATATTTTTCAAAGTTCAGCTGTCCAAAATTTTTTTACAACAGTGGATTTATAACATAAAGTTTGTAATTTATAAATCCAACCATAATTTTGTTAAATATAAAGTTTTTTTTTATATAAGGACTATAACTAATTAAACTCAATTTTCTCACTTTTTTCTTTCAAACATTTTCTTGAGATTACGAGTGTGTAGTATCCTCAGATTATATTAAGCAAATTCTAATGTGAGTCTGAATACTTTAGATATAACGAAGAATTCTGAACATAGGAATTAATTGTGCAAGAAGCAGTGACAAAACTCCTGTAATCACAACCTTAGTAAGAGAAAATAGTTTTATTTTTTTTTATTTCTTTCACTATTCACTATTTTAGTATTTACTGGTTCCATTTGGATTACTGGTTTTAATCTGAGGTTGTAGTCTAATAGAATTAATTTAATGAGCTAAAATATTAAATCTATCTTGCTAATTTATGGCTTCGATTGTGATATACAAGTTTTTGACGGTATAATTGATCATCTTGTTGAGCTGCCTGAACTAATCATGATGGGCTCACCAGTTGAGCCAATATTTCTAACAATTAATTATCATTGTTTGAGCAAAAAAATAATGACTCAGGCAGAAGTTGTTGCGCAAAGGTATGTGAATGTCAATAGGAGATTTGCTCAAACTAGGAGATTTTTACGGATCCTGCAATCACTTACACTAAGATTCGCTAACGCTAAAGAGGCCAGATGGTTTTTCTGGTGTGTCCCCTCCGACGATTAAGTCAAATACAAAATGAAAAAATGTAGCAAAACGGAGAGTAAAAGTGATGGAAAAATGCATGAATGGAGCTTCCAACAATTCTTCTTTACATGAAATAACGAGGGAAGAAAGAGAAAACAATTATATGTAATTTTAATTTTGGGGTTGCATTGTAATTTTTACAGGTATGTCATTTTAAATAGTAGAGAGGTTACGCAATATTTCCTGGTACCCGGAACCAGAGCCAGGTTACGGTTCCAGGAATTAAGGAACCAGAATTGATGGTTCCGATTCCAAAAGCTAGGAACTGTCAAATTCTGGTTCCGGTGAAATTGGGCGGGTACCCGGACCCAGCCACCCTAACTATAATTGCTGAAAATGAAAAACTAAGTCTTATTCCAACCGTCTTCCTCTAACTAATTTTTTCTATATTTGTTTCATAAAGGGAGGACTTACTATATCTATATATATAATTAAATGCCAACGACATTATCCCAAGTATGCTTGATTTAATATCAATTACACGTCCAATTAGATACAGCAACATGGCTATGACAATGGATATTGAGATTGTTGCTAGAGAAACAATCAAGCCATCTTCTCCAACCCCCCAACATCTAAGAAATTTCAACTTTTCCCTTATTGACCAGACTGCTCCTGTAATGTTCACACCATTGCTTCTTTTCTACCCAGAAAACAATAATACAAATAACCATCTAATCCCGGCCACCCAAAGATCGCAGAAGCTGAAGACATCCCTATCAAAATTACTTACAGTTTTCTATCCCCTCGCTGGCATAATCAAAGAACAAACCACCATTGAGTGTAATGATGATGGGGCTGAATATGTTGAAGCTCAGATCAAATGCAATTTATCTGACATTCTTCAACAGCCTGATGCATCAATGCTACGAAGTTTTCTTCCTGTTGAGATTGAATCCGAGGAGGCTGACTCCAGCCGCCTGCTCTTTGTTCAAGCCAACTTCTTCAAATGCGGTGGAATGGTAATTGGCGTTTGCATTTCACATAAAATTGCGGACACAGAAACGCTGTCTACAGTCTTAAATAGTTGGTCTCAAATAGCCATTTCAGGGTCTAGCGATGGAGTGAAGTTTCCTGAATTCAACGCAGCATCTATTTTCCCTCCATTAGATTCCAAGCCCCATATTACAATTCCGCGTCATGATAGCTTAATTAGCAAGAGGTTCGTGATTGAATCATCAAAGATTGTTTCCCTCAAGGCGAAAGCAGCCGGAGCAACAGTGCAGCAACCAACGCGCGTGGAAGCTGTCACGGCTTTGATCTGGAAATGCATGATAAATGTTTCAAGATCAGCAAAAGGGTTTCCGAGACTATCTGTTATAAGCCACGTAGTGAACTTACGTAAAAGAATAGAGCCACCTTTGCCGGAAAACTGCATCGGCAACATTGTGGGGGCGTTCTTCGCTGCGCATTCGACAGAAAAGGAGACAGACTTGCAGGGACTGGTTTGTGAACTAAGAAAAGAATTAACAGAATTCAAGAAAACTGGTTTGCAAAAGATTAAAGTAGAGAAAAGGACATGGCTAAAAATGTGTGGGATAGAAAATTTACTGGGAAGAGAGGATATAGATTATCATACATGCACCAGTTGGTGCAGATTTCCACTTTATGAGGTTGATTTCGGGTGGGGAAAGCCGATATGGGCTACTGTTCCCAGCCTAATATTTAAGAATGCGGTGTTTATGATGGACGCGAGAGATGGTGAAGGAGTAGAAGTTATGGTAAGTTTGAGCGAAGAAGACATGGCGTTATTTGAAGGCGACCAAGATTTACTTGAATTTGCTACTGTCAATCCAAGTGTAATGAATTGAGCACATCATATATAGAGAGAATCGGATCTTATACGCTATGTATAGATGTTTGATAAATGTATTTTTTTATATAGATTATTTCAATTAGCTCCCAAAATGGTTAAAAATTACTATTTATGTGGCCAAATATAATAGACCAAAAGTGCTATGGACACCGAAAGTTGGTATCGAAATTTTGCACCGATTTACATGGCACCTGACTCGGACATCGCCACGTAGGACACGATACAAGACTTTTGTGAATGAACAATCATCCAACAATTATAGACGGCCGTCCATATTTTTTGGATGACCATTCATTCACGAATGGACGAGGGTCCATAAAAAATCAATAAAAATCAATGGACTACCATCCAAGTTATATGGATGACCCTCCTTTGTATATGGACGTCCATCCACATAAGATGGATTGGCATCCATACTTTGTTAAAAGTAATAAAAACATATTTTTAAAACAAAAATGCTACTGGTTTTCCTAATTGAGGGTTCCAAAACTAATTCTAAAAAAGAAAAACAGCAGAAACCATTGAAGCCACATTACATCTGCCGCTGTTGTTCACTTCTTTGTCTTCATCGTCTGGACTCTAGCTAGACTACACTGTTAAACCATATAACATCTGTGAGTAATTTTTGTTTTCGTACTTCATTTCTCTCTTGCTTATCGTTCATTGAAGAAAGTTCATAGGAACATCAAAATTGTTCCAGGTGTATAAAGATTATTTGGCTGGGTTTTGCTTGGTAGAAGCCCTAATAATTTGCATCAAAACTGTCAAAAGGATATCTGTTAATTGGTTGTGCAATAATGCTATTTGTATTGATGAATGAGGCATATTTAATCTATGCAAAAATGTGAATTTGGTTTTATTATTAAGGAGTGTGGATTCATTATTATGTTTATTTGGTTTGTGTTCATCATATCAGTGAATTTTTGTGATGTTATTGGTTTGAATTCAAAAAAACAATTGAGAAAGGTAGTTGCTGCTATTGAGCAATAGAAGTCTGATAACTTTTTGGTACTTGGTTCTATAATGCTAACTTGTTTTTAGATGTTTGTCTCCCTGCCAATTTTTGTGATGTTATTGGTTTGAATTCAGAAAAACAATTGAGAAAGGTAGTATCAAGAAGAATAAATTGCTACAATACATTGTATGATTGCTTCCATAATTTTTGTTGTGTTATATGCATTTTTGTTGCCTATTGCTTGTTGGTTAGTGTGAAATTGGCAGGGAGTTCCATCAGTAAGAAGGTGTATAAGGGGTATAAGGATAAAAGATGGTAGGAGGTGTGAGTGGCATGTGAGCATGTGTTAGTGGAGGTTGGTTAGGTGATATTCTCATGTGAAGAGTAAGTGTGCTAGGGGAGGGAATAATTTAGTTAGTGGAATTAGTATATTAAGGAGTGTGATTTTAGGGAAAGGAGAGCAGATTATTAAAAGTCCTTGAGGAGGCCAATTATTGTTGTTGGAAATATCATTGAGCAGAGGGGAATTTTTATTTACACATCAAGTAAATAAAACTTCCCCTTGCTCCACTCATGGTAACCCATTCCTCCCATAAGGAGATGGAGAATAGCCCACACGAGTCTTTGATTTAATATGGATTAGTGATTTTTTTGCCCATGACTTCTGCAGTTGGTGAGTATTAGTCCCAATTGATAACATTTTTATGTCAAATAATTGGCTTAAATTAGGAATAATCAAAGTGAAAACTAGGAAATAGAGAGTATCTGTCCTTGGACCAATTCATTTATCAAATTAAACCCAATCAATAGAACATGTGGGATGGGAGACTCTTCTTTGTCATCAATTGAAAAGCTCAACAATTAGTCCCTAAACTATGAGGTTTAAACTTTGAAATTCACTTGTCCAAGATAACTCTTTTTTGATAACTCTAATCACTTTGCTATCCTAGGATTTAACTACTATGGGAGATTGTACTTTGGGTACATTAGCTCTAAGAAGAAAATGGTTACGAGTCATACTAATATTGGATAATTTTACTTTCTTTCTTGCTGGATTGGACATGAATATCACTAAACATGATTTCTCATTAGTTGACATCACAAGTTCCTCCCTTTCAATTGCATGAATGAACTTGTTACTTACGGGACTCAATTTCAATAAATTGCTTCGAGTAATATACATTAGTAACTATCCAGTTGATCAATGTTTTGTATATGTTCTGGTAGTAGCTAGTAAATCATTCTTTCTAATTGTTGACTTGTTTTGTTCTTTTAATTTCAAAGAATTGCAAAATTGATTTAAATTATTCTTTTCATACTGTTCTTTGAGGACATTTGTCAGGTTCTACATACTCTTTATGATAGTTCTCTTTTTTTAATATCTGTAGAATTACTCATGGATATGTTTTTTCTAGGAAGCTGCTAGTTTTAGAAGAAAACAGAAAATGGTTAGAGCAAAAAATACAACCATTCCTCATGGAGTCACATCGTCATCTGGAGTCCAATTTCGAGACATGCAACATAAAAAGCAATACAAAGAGATGGCGAAAAGAGATATTTATCTTAGAAGGAGTTTAAATTTAGGATTTATAGCAAGTTTGGGTTTAGGTAATGAGATTAATAGTTGGATCTGTAATTTGAAATGGGATCAATTGGTGAGTATTAGATATGATGGATATAAGCATTTGATCTATGAGTTTTTTAGTAGTTTGGAAGTTATGAAGACAGATATTGATGATTTTCCAGCATATACAATGTTTTCTAGATTAACGAATCAAAATTGTGTAGTGAGGCCACAGGATTTAACAATTTGGATAGGGTTTAATTTTGAAGGTTTGGATAACGTATCCAGAACGTGGGATTCCAAACAAGCTTGGATGGATGTTTCTAGAATAGAGGTTTGCCATCCACATAGGTGTAAATCTATAAAGTTAAAGAATCCTGCCATGAGAGTATTTCATAGATTTCTGACTTTCACATTTAATGATAGGAAAGAAACAAATGGAAATATGATAGTCAAGGATTTATTGTTCATGGAAGCAGCAATAACAGGGAGGCAAGTAAATTCAGCAAAGTTATTGATTAAGAATTTGGGAGAGATTAAAGAGAAAAAGGAGAAATATATTGGAGGATGCTTTGTACGCTAATATGTGAGAAGTTGGGTTTAGAGATCACCCCCTTCTGATAAAGCTAATAAGATTACATTTTCTGCAAATAATTTCTGGGGGATTTCACATTGTGTAGAATGGGTTTGATTGAAAAAAAAAAATGTGACAGGAGAATGGTTTCTGATTAGGGATAAAATAGAGGAAGTGGCAACGGTATTGGAAGGTGTCCCTATTCCAAAAAGGGAAAATCAAGGACAAGTCTATGTGTGCAAAAGAAGAAGAATGAGTATTGAACCTGGATCTTCTCATAATGTACAAGAACTATCTTCTCATACCTTAGAAGAAATAGTAAGCAAATTTGAGAGAATAGAAAGGTTTCAAGAGGAGAGTTTTTCATGTATTGAGGGAAAAATGCAGGACAACATAATTAGTTGCAAAGTGATTTCAATTCGTTCATATCAAGAATAGAAGAAATGATTAACATCCTTGGGGAACGCATGACAGAAACTCCCAGTATGATGAAGAAATTCTCAACAACCTCCTCCTCCTCTAGTCAGCCTCCACCCCCTGCACTATGATGAAGAACTTCTCAACAACCTCCACCTTCTTAACATCCTTGGAGAATGCATTATGAATGTTAATTGCCATTATGTGTAGTTCAAATACAAAACTCTATGTACACAAATTATATTTGCCTTTTGTTTATAAATATGTTAATTAACAAAGTTTGATTTCACAAGATGTTCTCAATTAACTAAACTTCTCCAATATCATATGAATGTTAATTGTCACTATGAATGTTATGTACGAAGATTATATTTGCCACAATTTCATATCATTAATTATTGTTCAATACATATCTCAATGCATATGTATATGTAATACTAGACATACCAAAAGACATATAAAAATTCAAATCTCAAATGAAATACAGAATAATATATACTGAAATGTGATGATAATATATACTGAAAACATTCAAAATAAGTTACATTTACATTATTATTATGAATTCACAACCCTACAAAAAGCAACCTACTCTTACCCAACTAGCGACACAAATAATAAAAACAAAACAACTTAATTGATTCGACAGCTCAACTCCATTCGTCAGAAATTAACCAAATCGCAAATAGTTTCTACCGAATATAATTTTATATGCTTCAACCGGTTAATGATATAAAATCTCTCCTAATGAAACATGTTCATCATTTAAATGTTCCTGCCTAGTAAATAAATTACTTTTTCCTGCGAGATTCTGAACTGGACCAGTGGATAACTGTCAATGTTTAACAACCAGAATTTAGCACATGTTATAGAAAACTTAAGGTTTTTATAATTATACAACATACATAACACATACTTGCGTAGAGACTACATCATTTAACAACACGAGTTCTCGATACACTTTTAGCAATGTTGTCTCGCTCTATTGACGATTCTTTCCATAAAAAGTAGCATAACACGTTAATAATCAAGTAAATATTATTATAAACTCATACGTACTATTTCATCAACCTTCGATTGCTTTCTTTTGCATGGAGGATGACCTTTGCTGCGAACTGCCTGTGGACTAATAATTACACTATTCCCCTCTTTGTGAGGATTGTCCCCATCTTTACTACCAAGCCCTCCCTTACTTTCCTTTTGCTCCAACTTTTTTCTCATGCCAATCATAAATTCCATCAACATATTATAGTCTTCCTCATTGTTTGATGCCATATCAGCTACCGTTAGCATTATATTAGACAACTTATCAAAACATTGTCCTTCAACATTGGTGCTCCACCTATTATAACTTACCTTGATTTTTGTATGACATCTACTTATAGTTTTTCTCCAACGCCATAAAATGTACTTATCTGGAACTTGTGAAACTCTTTTATGAATCAACACAATAATGACACGTCTGCATAAAATCCCTCTGAACTC